ATATCTAAGGCCTTCAGAGGGACAACTGGGCTGATTCGGCTCAGCTTCACACGGTCTCTCATCCTCCGGCAGGCTAGCTTATGCTTATTGGCATGACAGAAGTAAGTGTTTCAAGTAAGAGTAAAAGACCATAAAGTCTGTTGAGGACCAGGCCCATTACTAGTCCACCGTCACTTCGCCATTTTAGGTGGTAAGGCCAGCCCAGATTTAAGAGGTGGGGATATAGGCACCATGTCTTGATTAGAGGAGCTGCTGAGTCACATTTTAGAAAATGTGGACGCAGAGAATGGGACACTTGTGGCCACTTCTGCAAACAGTCTACTACACAGTATTAACAACCATTCAGCCTCCGCTTCCTTGTTTCTTTAGGACCTTTTTCTATTTTCACACTAGTTAATTTAAAAATATATATGTAAATTGCGTTCCTGTTTATCCAGATTTGAGAAATGGATCTAAGTGCCAGGAAGTCTATTAAAGTCCAGATTTTTTTATTGCTTCTGGGTGGATACAAGGTCATCTCAACCTCCCCTCTTTCTTGCAGTCATGTTCAGTTACACTTACTACCTTTTATTTAAAACGCCCCAAGCACTTCGCCAGTTTAGAGATTTGCCTTTGCCGTCTTTCTGGAATGTTCTTTGTCTTACCACTTTTCTGCCTCATTCCCTATTCTTGTGCCAGTTCTTAGTTTTAATGTCCCGTCCTCAGAGAATTATTCCTTGATTACTCCATCTAAGTTACATCCCCTTACTATATCTTAAAGTAATTTATTTGTAATGTATACTTTTTAATGTAATGTAGTTCTCAATTGAGAATAATTTTGCCCTCTAAGGGGACATCTGACAATGTCTCTAGATACTTTTTGGCATCACAACTGGAGGGTGCTATTATCGTCTAGTGGGTTAGAGGCGAAGGATGTTACTTAACATCCTGCTGTGCCACGAACAGTCCTCCTATCCAACAGCAAAGAATTATCCAACTGCCAATACTGCTGAGGTTGATAAACTCTGCTTTAGATCATGCACTACAATTTGGAATCATATATTTCCTTGGGCATTTGTTTAACATTTGCCTTTCCTACTAGACTGGATGCTCCATAAGGATGAGATAATGTCTGTGTTGTTTAACGTTGAATATCCAGCATCTAACTCAGTGCTTGATCCCAGGCAGCTGCACAATAAACATTTGTTAAATGGAGGAAGGAAGAGCAGGCAGGAGGCAAAGAGAAAAGAAAAGACTTTATAAGGAGGTACACAGCCTATACCAGTTAGAAGCATATTTGCCTGACTTTCAAATGTCAGAACCTGTATTTCCTTGTGTGAGGGTTTTTATTAGGTTGTGAGCCCACCCTGCCCAATTGCATGATAGTCCAGAACGCTGGGGCATTATCTTCCCCTGGAAACTGTGTTTTCTAGTGTTCCCGAAAGTTCTTCAGTGATCATAAGCTGATTAATAATGAAGACTTTGTTCGCTTCCTTCCCTTCCCTGTCTAAATTCCTCACTTCCCTACTAGAGTTTCCTGGGAATACCTTCTGTGATAGGCTGAATAGTGGCCACCAAAGATAACCAGATCCAAATCCCATGAATCTGCGATGTTCCCTTATATGGCAAGAGAGGTCACATATAAGATTGAGTCAACGATATTGAGGTGGAAGATGATTCTGTATTATGTGACAGAGCCCAAGTGTAAACACACGTGTCCTTACTAGAGGGAGGCAGAGATAGATTTGATCCAGAAGGAGGAAATTTGACCACTGAAGCAAGATGCTACATTGCTGGCTGTGAAGTTGAAGGAAGGGGACAAGAAATTCAAGGAATGTAGCTCTGGGTTCTGGAAAAGGCCAGGAAACAGATGGTCCTCTAGAGCCTCCGGAGGGAGCATGGCCCCGTTGGCAAGTTGTTTTCAGCCCAGTGAAACCATTCTGAGCTTCTTACCCCCAGAGTTGTACGAGACTACATATGTGTCGGCTTAAGCTACGAAATTTGTTTTAGCAGCCATGGGAATCTAATACAGATTTTGGTGCCAGGAAGTAGGTTGCAGCTATAACAAATACCTAAAAATGTAGACGTGGCTTTGGAGTTAGATAATGGCTATAGGTTGCAATAATTTTGAGGAGCATGACAGAAAAATTCTAGATTAGTTGACTGTTAATAAAGATATGAATGTTAAAAGTGCTGCCGGTGAGGGCTCAGAAGGAAGTGAGGAGCACAGTAGAGAAAGCCTATGTTGTCATAGAGAATCCCTAAATCATCATAAACAGACTGTTGATAGAAATATGAATGTCACAGGTGTTGCTGGTGAAGATTATTTATTTTTCTTTTTAAAAATTTAGTTTTTTATTGAAGTATAGTTGATTTACAATGTGTTAGTTTCAGGTGTACAGCAAAGTGATTCAGTTCTCTGTGTGTGTGTGTGTGTGTGTGTGTGTGTGTGTGTGTGTATTCTGTTCCAGATTCTTTTCCCTTATAGGTTATTACAAAATATTGAGTAGAGTTCCCTGTGCTATACAGTAGGCCTTTGTTGGTTATCTGTTTTATATATAGTAGTGTGTATCTGTTAATTCCAAACTCCTAATTTATCCCTCCCCCTTATTTCCCCTTTGGTAGCCATGTTTGTTTTCTAATGTCTGTGGGTCTGTTTCTGTTTTGTATATAAGTTCATTTGTATCTTTTTTTTCTAGATTCCACATATAAGCAATATCATATATTTGCCTTTCTCTGTCTGACTTACTTCACTTAATATGATAATCTCTAGTTGCGTCCATGTTGCTGCAAATGGCATTAATTTATTCTTTTTTATGGCTGAGTAATATTCCATTATATATATGTACCACATCTTCTTTATCTATTCATCTGTTGATGAACATTTAGGTTGCTTCCATGTCTTAGCTAATGTAGACAGTGCTGCAATGAACATAAGTGTGTATGCATCTTTTCAAATTATGGTTTTCTCCAGATATATTCCCAGGAGTGGCATGGCTGTATCATATGGCAACTCTGTTTTTAGTTTTTAAGGAATCTCCGTACTGTTTTCCATAGTGGTTGTACCAATTTACATTCTCACCAACAGTGTAGAAGGGTTCCTTTTCTCCACACCCTCTGTTGGTGATGATTTAGAAGGCAATTTGGAACATGATTTTGGAAACTGGAGGAGAGGGGATTCTTGTTACACAGTGGTATAAATTTTAGGTGAATTGTGTCCTACAGTTATGTGGAAAGCAGAACTTGTAAGCAATGAATTAAAAATGTAGCTGAGCAGATTTCCAAGGAAAGTGTTGAAGGCATGCCCTTGTTTCTTCTTGCTACCAGTAATAAAAATACTGGAGGAAAGACATAAATTGAGGGAAGAACTGTTACGCAAAAAAGAAAGAGGACTTGTATATATGAAATTCTCAGCCTATCCAGTTTGCAAAAGTACGTTAAAATGAAAGGATTCACTGTCAGGAAAGTGTCCTGTAGACATAAAATCAAGGATGTAGCTAGACATTCTTTTGCTAGTACCTCCACGGGATCAAAATATCAGAGTATTCAAACAGAGGGCTCCTTGAAGCAAAATGGGCTGTGAATTATGGAGGACCCTAGCCATCTCAGCAGAAGCGAAGAATAGAGATGGGATTTTCCAGGCGGGAATCTCTGAATGAGGCTTTTGTCTAAAGGCATAACTCCTCAAGACACATATGGGAGACTACACGATTTTGAGCATGTTAAGTCAGCATTAAAAATGCCATCTCTAACTGAAAGAAGGGATAAAAGATGGACTGAAAGGAGGCGGTGGGACTCCCAAAATTTGACAAGCAGAAAACAGGCTGATAATAGTACTCAGTGGCAAACATGTGCTCCATTCAAAATACAGGCAAGACGCTTCCGAAGGCAGAGCTTAGGGCCTAGGGGTCGGAGCTATGGTCGTGGGTAAAGTCGTGGAGTCAGAGGGATGAGCTTCAAGCCACAAAGGATTATTCCCAGGCCTTGAAACCTGTGGAGGTTTGCCTGCTTGGATATTGAAATTGCTTGAATCGGAGAGTCCTTTATTCTACTTTCTCTTTTGGAATGGAAATGGCTGTAACTGTTATCAGCTGTAAATGAACAAAAACAAAGCAGAAACACAAACTTAGAGGAGAGGAAAATTAAAATGAGAAAAAAAATGAGAAGGAACGTCTCTTGGTGCTTTGGCTTCACCAAGGACAGCAACGAAGAGGCACATCTGGGCTTAAACTGAGCACCGAGTACACTTTGCCCTCTCTTTACAATATTTACCTGGTTCTGATAGATGAATCCATTGAGCATCTCATTGTAACTTCCAAAATGATCAAAAGATATTTTTCAAACTGTATAAAATCAAGACACTCATAGTAAACATGAAATGCACATGAGTTAAAAGATTCTGTCTTACTCAATGAGGGAGTGGAAAAATGTTATAACTGGTTCCAAAGGGAATCCAAACATTAGATATAGGAATATTGATCAAGAATATTTAAATGAATGTGTACATGCAAGCAAAACTGGTTTCATTACATCATGAGAAGGGGACAATTTAATCTCTACCATACAGGATATCTTATATGTTTATCAGTAATGTACAACTAACAAAAGGTCGTAAAAGACCTCAAAGACAGTACAAGGCTAGAATCAGATAACGTGGTGTGGTGTCCTAAGGACAGGGAAAAGTTTGCCATCGAAGCATACGTTTATTTCTACAATGTTAACGTCAAGTACAGTTCCCTCAGTATCAGAGTCCAGTCAGGGTGAGCAGGTTCCTGTCATGGGCGTGTCTTGGCTGAGGCCTGATTAGGGCACAGTGGGAACCAGTGACATCCCAAAGTTTAGGATGTGACAAAGGCAGCTCCCTGACCAATGAAGGGACTAGAGCACAAGGATATAATGTGCCAGGCTGCGTGCAGGTGTCTTGGGAAGCCCAGTCCAGCAGGAAAGTCAAGCAGAGCTGATCAGCAGAGGCAAAGCCAGCAGACATGTCAGCAAAATGAAGCCACGAGTACTCCTATCAGACTCCAGCCCATCTTATAACCACCGAGCTACAGTTCCCCGTGAGCTATGTGGACCGTCTTCTGAGGGAGTATCAGTGTGTCCATACTCCGAGTTCATCCACAACAGATGTCCTCCTTGCCATGCTCGACTACCTTACTGAGTACATCCTGGATCTGGTAGGCCCTGAGGCCAATGGCGGTATGCAGATCACTCCGCAAGACTTGGAGAGAGCAGAGCCCCATCGCCACTTGAAGGATACGGCCTTTGCTTTATTTGATAAGATGCCCGGATCCAGAAGGAATGGCTGAAGCCTGGGTCCCCAGAGCCTGGCGGGAGCCCTCACAGCCTCAGCCCAAGGCAGAACTTCTCAGCCGAGGTACCCCAGCTTCTGTCATCAATAAATGCTATTAAAGGATTTAGCTGGCCAAAGTTGTCGGGGGAGAGGACTTCCTCGCTTGTGGGAGTCCAGGCCTGGGAGGCTGGGAGGTTGGCGGGGCCTCCCAAGCATGTTGAATTTCCAGAATGATGGTGGTAACGGGGGAGGGGCTGAAAACCGTGACAGAGGAGCCCGAAGGCTTTATTCATGATGGGGAATGTCTAAAAGTGGGAGGTGATGGCAATCGGGTGGCTGGACAGGGTGGAAGAGCAGTTGGTGTGAACTTTATTCATGGTGGGGAATGTCTAAAAGTAGGCAGAGCTATACCAACATCCCTTTAAGAATCGTGCTTCAGCTGTGCCTGCGGCTTTAACAGGAGACATGGGGGCCCCCCCGCCAGCACGTCATCAGTCTAACTGCGCCCCCTGCCAAATCCCCTCCTACACGGGACGGGGAATCGTCCACGCAGGGGAGGAGGGCAGGCAGGGGGTGAGAACCACTGCCCCTGGGAAAGCATGAGGCGCCCACGTTTAGGCTTTTTGCGCGTTTTGAAGACCGGAGTGAGCAGGGACAGAGGCTGGGGAGGGTGTGGCTGCCAAACGAGGTCTGTGATCAAAAGCAGTGTCAGGGCCGGCCAGGGTCAGACACCAGGCGCAGGTCAACAGGTGAAAACATCACGTGGGGGACGGCGTGAGCCCACGAGTCGAGCCTGGAAAGATCTTGGAGAGTAACGTCGGTTTGCCGTTGGCATGAACACGAGGCCTGGGACCTTGGCTGGCCTCCCACCGAAGACAGCCTCTGAGAAGAGAGGTGTTTTGAAGGCCCAGGCTCCCCTGGTCCCCGAGTCTGACAGGTCCTGCAGGAAGTGGCCAGAGACAACCTGAGTCTTTAGAAAGGGCTTTTGGAGCCTCAAAATAGGATTCAAGGAAGAGGAGACTATGTGAACATCGATATATCATCTCCCTAGAGAACTAATTACAACGTGGCCCCTTACAGACCTAATTTCGTCAATAAATGGGATTATTAGGCCTACAGTGACGTTTTTAAAGAAAAATTAACTATCTACCAACATGTAAGGATCAAGAACTTTTCACCTGAAAACCTCAGTTAGTGACTTCTTTGGTGAAATCAAAATGTGTGGCTATACATGATTATAATCCTAGCTTTTTGAACCATTCATACTGGGCCTGTCCCTTCCCTATTGTATCTCATGTGTGACCCGCTTCCCTCATTTACAGTACATAGCTGGCTCCTAAAGATATTTCACTTCATTATTTCCACTGTAAATTAAGTCTAAAACCACAGTTTTCTGAAGGATGAAATTCTTCTCATTCAGTGAATTAGCCTAGCGTGGTGCTCCTCAAATTGTCTTTCGTATAGGGCCAATATTTTCTGTTACTGCACAAATTCATTGCAAGCTTATATATAGTCTTATTTTACATGACTAGTATGAAGCTTCCATATGACACTTGATTCGAGTTCAACCACACGTGGATTAATACATACCCTGTTCAACAAGATGACTCTGCTCACCTAAGAGTTTGTGTTCCAGCCAGATTGCTAGGAAGGTCACTAAATGCTAACTTTTGATTTCCGTACCTCTTGCAGCTGACCAGTAGCAAGTAATTTAATGACCTACGTCCGTCCACAAATCATGTTTGCGTAGCTGTGCAGTAGTAAATTTGTTTTATTCTTTTAGGAGTATGTCTTCAAATCTAAGGAAAGGCAATGGACAGACCCTGCGCTTGGTGTTTCATTTAGCATTTGTCCTTCAGAGTTCTTCATGAGCATAGAAGATTGGTCTCTTATATTTAGGGTTCTCGAATCACTATGGGGCAAATCTCTCTAAACGTTTGTTAAAGCAAAATCTACTAAAGGAAACCAATTTGCAGCAGGGAGGCAGGTTAGATACTGCGGCTGTGAGATACTTGGGGTTCTGGTCTCCCATAAGTTTAGTTTACTTGGGGCACGTCAGCTTCCATGGCTATAAGATGAGGAGGTTGGACTAAATTATCTCAGAGATCTGCTCGAGGTGTACAGTTACCAGTCTGTGATCTTTTCCTAAGGAAAGTTGTCTACTGAAAGTGGGGCACAGAGGACAGGGATTGTTTCTTAGGGTCTCCGTTTTACAGCTGAGGCCACTTTGGCCCAGAGATGCCGATCAGCTCTCCCAAGGTCACGTGGCAAGTGGGTCCACAGTAGGGACGAGAGCCCAGCCCTGCTGCCTGTTGTTGAGCCTCCTCTACTGTATCCTGAGAAATGGGTGGTCTCGACATAGAAAGGGTTTAATGGTCCTGTTGTTGACCTCCTCTACTGTATCCTGAGAAATGGGTGGTCTCGACATAGAAAGGGTTTAGTGGTCTCCCCTGGGGAAAAGAAGCCAAACTCTTCAATATAGAGGTGTTGATTTCTTAAAACAGCTATGAATTGGTTTCTGGGAGAATGTATATTGTTTAAATGTAGCTCATTTAAGGTCCCATAATTCAGCTTCCTTATTTTTAGGGAAATTTAGGAATATTCAATTTATATAAGAATTTATCTAGATATGCCAGTCAGAACAGAGCCCCATTAATTTAAGAGATTTTATAATCTATTATATTAATATAATTCAGAGATAGGAATATATTACACACTCACACAATCAGAGGTGAGGGCATTTCTGAGTTACAGACATATGGACATACACGCAGAGAAAAATTGAGATTATTTCAATTTCAGCCATGGGTCAAGTATAAACATAGAAAAACTAACTGGTCCAGGTATCAAAAAGCTGTTGTCCTCTAGAGGGTATGATTTGAATAAGCAAATAGACAGACGAAGACTAGAAAACCAGATTCTCTGTTGTCTCTTACTCAGTGGCAACCAAATCTCTGTGGACCCATTTATCGAGGTCTCCAGATGGTCATATCCTAAAGCCAAATTCTCCACCATTTCTGCCAACAATGGGAATAACTTATCATCTGTAAACGAGCAAAAACAAAATAGAACCACAAAATTAGTATAGAGGAAAAATTTTAAATTAGAAAAAAAATCATGTAAGTTCTACTGGTGCATTGGGATCACCTAGAAGAAACAAGACAAGACACTCCTGGGCTTTAAACTGAGAATGGGGCTTCCCTGGTGGCACAGTGGTTAAGAATCTGCCTGCCAAAGTAAGGGATACGGATTCAAGCCCTGTTCCGGGAGGATCCCACATGACACAAAGCAACTAAGCCCATGTGCCACGACTACTGAGCCTGCGCTCTAGGGCCCACGAGCCACAGCTACTGAGCCCATGCGCCACAACTGCTGAAGCCCACACGCCTAGAGCCCGTGCTCCGCAACAGGAGAAACCACTGCAACGAGAAATCTGCGTACCGCAACGTAGAGTAGCCCCTTCTCGCCACAACTAGAGAAAGCCCGTGCACAGCAACGAAGACCCAAGGCAGCCAAAAATAATAAAATAAAATAAATTAAATTAAAAAAAAAAAAAACCTGAGAATGAGGCACACTTTTGTATCTTTGGCGTTTACCTGAGTCAGGTTGAATTGAGTCAGGCGAGTCCATGGGCATATCCATGTGACCTCCGAAACAGTTAAAAAATATTTTTAAACAGAGAAAATCATGGCACTCATACATATATGAAATGTAAATGTATTAAAAGAATCTGTTTAACTCATGAGGGAAAAGGCAGATGGTGTAACCAAAAGATACGCCAAAGAACAAGCATAGAAATATTGGAAAAGGGTATTTAAATGTGTAAACGGAGGCACGATTGGTTTTATTACAATATGTGAGGGGAGACGAATGGATCTCTCTTGGACAAGGCATTCAGTATGTCTGTGACCACCAATTTACAGAGTGATGTAAACCAGTTCAAAGACAATGCAAGTCTAGGCTCAGATATCCTGGAGTGGTGTCCCCTAGATAGGGCAATGTTTCCACTGAAACATTCTCTCTCATTCATTCATTCATTCATTTTTATTTATTTTATTTATTTTTTTTTACTGGACTGTTAAAGTCAAGTAGAAAGATTTTCATTAAAAAAGAGGTCCCTATCACAGACATTTCTAGGCCAGCCCTGATCAGGGCCCAGTGGACGCCAATGACATCACAAAGTCTGAGCTGTCACAGAGGCAGCTCCCTGATCAATAAGAGGCTGGAGCGCAGGGATACGGCGGGCAGAAAGACACACTGGCATCTTGAGAGACCCAGGCCAGTGGGACAATCAAGCTGGGCTGACTGGGGCAGAACCCAGCCAACATCATGTCATGGAAAAGAAGCTTCTGGCACTGTCGTTGTCGTAAGAAACACTCCCACTCCACAAGAGCTGAGCTGCAGTTCCCCGTGAGCTGCATGGACCTCCTCCTGCAAGAGGGTTGCTACGCCCAGTGCCTGAGCTTGTCCACTCCTGTGTTCCTGACCAGCATCCTCGAGTACCTGAGGGCCAACATTCCTGGAGCTGGCGAGCAGGGAGCCCCTCAACAACCACAATATGTGCATCACCCCGGAGCACGTGCAGAGGGCGTTGGACAACAATGAGCGCCTCTTTGAGCCCGGCGCCTTCTCTCCCGCCGCTGTGCTGCTCCTGCCCGAGGAGAAATAGTGATGCCCTGCCCCCGGAGCCCATTTAATAGAGCCCTTACTCTATTTTGGATTTATTTTTGTGTATGGTGTTAGAGACTGTTCTAGTTTCATTCTTTTACATGTAGCTGTCCAGTTTTCCCAGCAGCACTTATTGAAGAGGCTGTCTTTTCTCCATTGTATATTTTTGCCTCTTTGTCAGAGATTAATTGGTAAGTGTGGGTTTACTTCTGGGCTCTCTGTCCTGTTCCATATGTCTGTTTTTATGCCAGTGCCATACTGTTTTGATGACTGTAGCTTTGTAATATTGTCTGAAGTCAGGGAATCTGATTCCTGCAGTTCTGTTCTTCTTTCTCAAGATTGTTTTGG